ATGAGAAGTATAGACAGTTGGTTTGATAATTGCGATGAAAAACCGATGTAATAGATTATTCGACACCATACTATATCAATCCAACAAGTTTACTTTATTTCTCTAGAAAAAAAATTAGAATGTATTCAAGCAAAAACTTTCTCATCATAATAAAATAGGCTGTTGAGAGTATGCAACAAAAGTTTTTTTTTTCTTTTTCTTTAGAAAAAAAGAAAACATCGATTCAAGTGGCAAAACAATTCAATATTATTATCCGAACGTATTTTAAAAATATTAATATTTCTAGCTTGCCATTATCCAATTGAATTATATGCCACTATATAAGTTTGTCTGTCGAATAATCTATTACATCGGTTTTTCATCGCAATTATCAAACCAACTGTCTATACTTCTCATTAGAATTTTAACTATGTACTATAAACAAAGAAGGACAGAAAATAATAGTCAATATGATTTATATCACCAAAATTGAATGGTACATGTTTTCCACGATAGGCTTGAACTTCATTTCTTTCAGTTCGATAATCATCAACAACATCAGGATTCGGTATCGTTTTATCCCAACTGTTTAAATATCCTATACATTGTTCATCGTCTAAAACGAATAATATAACATATCGATCAACGAATAAAAGAATTCAGTATAAAAGAAAGAATTATAAAATATTTGCTTGAATGCATTCATTTTACCTGTACACGCAGTGATTGTAACTGGAATTTGATTAGTCGGTACTCGTTCATGTTTGAGAACATGTTCAAGTGTATGAACAAGTAACGTTCATCGATACTCGATTCACTTGGCCCTAGACTGTCGCAGTCTACATGCACATATGACTGTATTTACATATGAATGAGAGTTGATCAATATTACTTATAGATAAAAAAACATATCACAGTGATTTTTGTATGGAGTTACAAGACAATTAAAACGACAAATTTAGTAAAAAATATTTTACAATAATACAACCCCTAAGATTTTAAAATTATCAAATTACAAATGCATACTTTTTGCAGCTTCTAATCCTTGGCATTGCTTTTCTGAATTGTTGTACAAGACGTTTGGGCATATCATTGTTCTTTTCATAGGTGTATTAATAATATTTGTTGATGATGAAGAACGACATGCTACATAAAATAGATCAACATTATCTTTGAAGTCTTAATAAGATTCTGCGTATACGAACATTCCATTTTTTTGTTGTTAATATTATTTTCATCTTCCTCCATATCAAGAGTAAAATTGGCGTTACGTTATCATTTATATTTATTTAATAAAATAACAATATAGATATTATTACGAAATATTTCAAATATTTAACTTAGCGCTATTTTTGACACAAATAAATTAATATTATGTTATTTAAATGATACGATATTAGCTAATAAAAATTATACTATCGAAAATATTCTGTAACCATTGATAAGATAACAAAGCAAATTTGATATATAGATAACTAATCGGTCTGCTGTAAAATAAATATCTTCATAAAAATACTTATCAAACCTTAAAAAATTTTACTTTTTGCCCAGTTCAAATACTATTATCTATGTGTCATCTTTAAAGTATTTATTTACGCAGCATCAAAATAATCAGCAGTACCAGAGCGATATGTTCATTTTTACCTTAGTTACCTGGTCATTTGTGCCAAAAAATGGTCATTTGTACCATGTTACAGACAAAAACGATACATGCAGTCAGATGAATTTCCCGTTTCTAGACCCTATCCTTATAGTCTAGGGAATATTGTACGCTCTTTCTCGTCTGTTGGTATACCATCAGTTGCTATGAGAATGAGTAATTTTCGCATGAGTTGCCTAATTCGAATTCGAATATAAATGGACACTCAGCTACATAGTATCAATTCGAAAATAAGTGATAGAAATAGATTTAGTTTTAGATTTAGATTTACTTTAAGAGAGACTGCATGTGCGGCCTCAGCTGAGGGTGCGGGGTACCTGGTGAGGGTGCCGAGTTAGGGTACCCGGTCACGGTATCTGGTCATGGTGCCT